CACGCATTGTGATAAATAATAAAAGTTTTGAAATATTTGAGTAAACCCAATTGTCTGCTATAAAATAAATATTTCTCAACTAGCCAGAAAGCTCTTGCCTGGTCTTGTCTGCGCTTTTCCAGTTGCGCTTTTCCAGTTGAAGAAATAAAATAAATACTAGAAATACAAAAATCAGTGCACCTGAACTCAAACCACATCTACTAATCCACTAATCACCTCTATCAATAATGCCACCTCATGTCTCTAAAAAAATGTCACTAAATAAAAACAGAAAGTGATCCAGAACTTCTCGAGCAGCAGCTGAAAATTCAAGAACCAAAAAACCATTGTTATTGCGATGCTTAGGTTAAACTGTATGGATGATATTTAATTTATTATTCAAGTGTAACCAGTATGCCAATCGAACTCTTAACTCTTTTTATTTAATTAGCTAACAGCAGCAGTCTAGTTCGGGTTTAGCAACTGATTCCTGGTTTCTTTGCCACTGACTCTTGCCTTGCCTGTTCTTTTACACCTTCACTCTCTCTCTCTCTCTCTATCTCTCTCTACAGTACTTGTATGTTTCGTCTTTAAGCTTCGGCAGGTTTTCAACAATTTCGATTGCACCCAAAAGTCGACTTGAATAAAATAAAGTGGAACGGCAGCGGTGGAGCTTTTAGCACTTGGACCTTGCTTTTAATAATTGTCGTAGTGCTAAACGTCATTGTGGATACGATACGGTATATACTCTATATACTAACGCATATATACTTATTACTCTCGTTAATTGCTTTCATTTGCTCTGTATATTACGGTAAACGTGTCACGAAACCAGTCATCCGATTGATCCGCTCGCCGCTGGCTATATAAAGCGGCAGGTGATCTTGCATTTGTCAATTAACATCCCAACGATGAAGTTCTACATGCTGTTCGTTCTTCTGCTGATTGCACTGGTGGCAGTTCAGGCAGCACCAAGGCGCAGCCGCGGTGATGGTGGATCCAGCGCCACAGCAAACGCAAACGCCAGCGCCGTATCCCAGGGCGGCGGCAGGTCCTCGGCTAGCGCAAATGCATCTGCCAATGCATCTTCCAGTGGCGGCCGTCGTAGGGGCTAATCATAACTAAGAAAATGTCTTGAAAACTGTCGAATAAAAACAATTGCTTACCGTAAAGTTGAATTTTCTAACTTGTCTTTGTTACTTATCTTAAGCGAAGCGATTAAGAACTACTATATCAACAGACCTTTTTTACGTGTGATCAATGAAGTTAATCATTAGCACTAGGTACAAATACCTATAGACGATTTGATGACAAAGGGGGAAATCCATCTAACGACACTAAGTGCATGTGGCTCATTAGGTCTACCTTTACCTATAAACTTTGATAGAAACAATTAAAAGAAATATATATTACATAAATGAATAAATTAATATACATAAATCTCCAAATATACATATGTATATTTAAAAATATTTATATAAATATTAATTATAATATTTATAGAAAACTATATAATTTATGCAATTGCCCACATATTTATGAGCAATAATTTATATATATAAGAAGAAAAAAAATTAATTTTAATAAATCTCAGTCCCTGTGTTGTTATGGTTCTGTTTTTTGTTTGTACCGGTTCTACACTTAATAAAATAAATAAATAAAGTAATAAATTTACTTTATCTTCTTATTCATTTAAAAAAAAAAAAAAAAAAAAAAATTGAAATAGTCATATAAATCAAGGCATTTTCATTATATATAGATAGATAAGTCATAGACTTGATTGTTTTAAAATGTCATGGAAGAGTCTAAGTCAAATTATATAATAATTGTATCTCGTCTTATTGAAAAGGTATCGAAATTTAATGAGAATTAAGTCCTGTTCAGTTTCGACTGACGTAATTGTCTCTAATATGTCGTAAGACTGTGTCTTTGCGAGGATGTCTATAATTTTTGTACTTTAAACTTCTAACACCTCAAACGAAACAATAGCGTTAATTAAAAACATTTCGTTTATTGTGGAAGTTTGGCGAGTCAGTCAGTCACTTGACAATTCTTTGCAATCAGCCACTGAAATCGGGAGTGCACGCCTGTAGGATGTTCTGCACCCAAAGAATGCATTCTACAATTAGAATGGTGCCTGTGCGTACATAATCCGCATATTGTTATCCTCTGCTTCTTTCATTCCGAAAAAAGTCTGGCAGAACCAATATACCCTTCTCTTTTGGAATATTAGGGAGAATAATAATTTGCGAGATAGCCAAAAACAGATTTGCATTTCTGCAGAGCAGTAGAACCCGTTTTGCCGATTAGATTTGCTTAAGCAATTTGCATCATTAGTGAGAACATAATATTTATAAACAATGGGCGCGTTCAACATGTCAATAAACAATGTTATTAGCTCACATTTCTTTGTCGACAGTTGGAGCTAAAAGCAAAATACAAATTCGAAGAGAAAAATATCTAGAATGTATAGGACAAGATCAAAATATATCGAAATCTACATTCAGTCAGCTGATATCCTTTTGAAATATTCACATCTAACTAATTATTTTGCAAAGTGTATTTTGTGTGTTGTCTGCTGCATATCTAATTAAGTCGTTTGTGCTCTGTGCATTAGCAAAAATTTAATAAAGTTGTTTAAAAAAACAACTCAAAATTTATCATATATGTATATATATCGAGTATGAACGACTGCAGAATACTCATTGACTGACCAAGAACATATATATTAAGAAATTGATATTTATATGCTTACAGTTTTCCATACACATATATAGAGTATTGGTTGTTCTGCCCTGCCTAAGAAATTGGAGATATCCAGATGAATTTATATATATGTATATTCAAAAGATGAGGATAACAACCATTATATATGGCAAATTTTCAGGTGCCTTACGGCATTTTGTTCAAATGCATATCTATGTCAAAGATTGAATAGCCATGAAATATATTGCCAAAAAATATTATAAAACATATGTGTGTAGTTTAAAAAGCTAAAATGCTAGAAGTCTTCTTGTTTGTGTTGCCGTAACGCCTTCGGTTTGGAAGCGCTTTGTTTGCCAGGCAGTTTGAGGAATCGAGCATAGATATCCACCAGAATTAAAGGAGGCTTCGAGTGGCTGCCCAGGAATCAGTCAGTTGAATTAAGGTCAATGCAGTTTGTAGAAAGTTGGGACTCTTGAGAACTGAGTCAACGATTTCGATCTTTACACAGCCATTTTAATTTTTGTTCCTGTTCCTCCTATCCGTTGGTGGTCTTTGGGCTCTTCCTTGTCTCGCCCTGGTGTCTTTGGTTTGCTTTGATGGTGATTTCGCCGCTTTCGCTGACTTTTTAGCTGGTGGTGGCTGCTTCGCCTGTTTTGCTGGCTTCTTGTGTTCATTGCCTTTGGCCTGCTTGCTTTTGGACTCGTTGCCTTTGACCTGCTTGCTTTTGGCCTGCTTACTCTTGCCCTGGTTACCTTTGGCCTGATTGCTCGGCGGGGCACGATTACCGGAGCCACCTTTCTTAGCGGTCGAGGAGCTGCCTCCCTCGTCAGCCAAACGGCTTTGAAAATATATGACAGCGAGCACCGCCAAGAAGAAGGCGATCACAATACACAGTCGCATGGTAAAACGTTACGAAACTGTTAAATTTGCGTGTATAAATACATAAACATATAAAAATGTTAACAAATAAATATATTCTATGGAAACTTAAAATTTTGTTGAATTTTTAGGTGTTTCATAACTGAACAGATGATGCTTGGAGTCTGAAGCTTTTCGCCTTGATGTAAACGAAATGTGAATTAAATCCCAAGGGTTATTTGATTCGGACTTTCGAACAAAGCTTGCAAAACTAACGAATGAATGGATTGATAAGATCTGTATGATCTGTATAATGAGATGTTGATGAGATCTCAGAACATCATTTGCGCCATGCCAACTAATTGGTCATATAGTAGGACCACAAAACCATTAAATATAAATATAAAAGGACTTTAAACAAGACAAAACATGGACAAATTGCTTTTCAAATTTTAATGTAATTTTATATCAAAGCATATGCGTTTCATAACTTTCATAAATTGTAAATTTCATAAATTGTAAATTTCGTAAATTGTATTATTAACAGCACCATCATTGGACGAGCAACCGAGCTGCCGATACAGAGAGCACCATGATAATTAATCCAGCGAAATGAGTCGGCGGCCCTTGAAAGCATTGGGCAAAAACATTGCTCAATGCACTTGCGGCATTTCTCCTTCTCTTCTTAGATGGCTTAGATGGCTTAGATGGCCTACGCTTCCTATAAGAATCTTCATTCCGCGGCTCCACGAACTTCTTGTGCTCCGTGATATGCTCGTCCAGGGGCAGTGCTGTCTCATTACCACTGAATGTGTTCACAACGGCAGTCTCATCGGCATTGCACCCTAGCCAGTAAACGGACAGGAGCGTGGCCAATAAAACGCTGATTACAATCAAATTATTCATAGCACCCTTTCTTTTCTCTCTAAAGAACACAAGACTTTAAGGGTTGGACTAGACAATATCTTGGGCTAAGACTATTTGGACACTTTTCTTATCTTCTATTCGGCAATGGCAAAACTATTTGCAAACAATTTAAAACTACGAAAATTTGGATTATTTTTTTAGTTTTTTTGTATTATTTATTTGATGTGTCTACGGAAAACCCAAAATTCTCTGAACATTTGTGAATAAACCATTGTAATTAGTAAATTTTGTGACATGTGGCGCAGTGCAGCTTCGATCAATATACAAGGCTATGCTTATGACATAGGTTGCGATAAGATGGGAGACATCTCCAAAAAATGAATGAAGTCATCTTTTCTTTTTGTTTCAATATATAAACATCACATTATAAAGAATGAAAGCTGGATATTCAGAGATGCAAAAAATTCACATCTTGCTGCTAATCACATTAGGAAATTAAAGCATTTGAATAACAACAAAAAAGCCCGAGAATCGAACGGAAATACTCTGTTCTTGAACTCGAAATAAGATAAGAGCATTTTCTTCTTTTCATGTATATTTATTTCATAAATATAAATAGACTAAATCACTTTAAAAAATCTGTTCAATTCGGCAGGGCTCTGAGGATGTCGTTTGGTTGAGGCTCAACCGCGGGCATTGGCAGAGGAGCTGGATGAGGCACTGGCGAGGCCGCCGCCCTTGGCCGAGGCGTTGGAGGAGGAGGAAGCGTTGGCATCGCCGCCGCCGAAGCCGTTGGAATTGGCATTGGCCGTAGAGGTGGCACTGGCACTGGCACCACCGGCACCACCAAAACGACCACCGCCACCAGTGGAAGTGGCACTGGCATCAGCATTGGCATTCGCACTGGAGCTACCACCACCAGGACCTCCGAAACCACCTGGTCCGCCGAAGCCACCGGGACCTCCGAAACCACCTGGTCCACCGAAGCCGCCTGGACGGCCTGGTCCACCAAAGCCGCCTGGACCACCGAAGCCGCCTGGACCACCTGGACCACCGAAACCGCCTGGACGGCCTGGTCCACCAAAGCCACCTGGACCACCAAAGCCACCGGGACCACCGAAGCCGCCTGGACCACCGAACCCGCCTGGACCTTTGCCAAAGCCTGGTCCGCCCTGCGACTGGGCGCTGGCGTCGGCATTGGCACTAGCACCGCTTCCTTGGCGCTGTGGTGCAGCTGCCACCACGGCCAGAATAATACTAAGCACAACGAATATCCTCATGTTGCTGCTTGTCCGAACTGTTCGAAATCCGCTAACAAACTTAATGCTCAGAAGCCGAGCGTCTCGCCTTTTATAACACTAAACGATGGATGATCTAGCCGCGTTAGACGACGATATCAATTAGCATAGTTACATACAGATGAAAATCAGAAAAGTAGACAAAACAGCTAAGCGCCTAAATTATGATGGAATTAACTGCCGCGAACAGATTCGAGCTCATCAAATTGAATTGTGCGGCGGAGGAAAGTGTGCGAATCTCTTTGGGCAAATAGATATTGAATGTCTGGGTTTCTCTCGAACCGGTTATGGACTGTCTGTATATATATTACGATTTTTAATGTTTTTTTTTTTTCAGCTTGACTTGCAAGTTTACTTAGCTTCGGTACTTTTCTTTATTTATGCCTTAAATGTTTGCCAGAAGAGAATTATTGTAATACTTTTTTAGCCATATCTCAGACATATATGATATTTGTATAAGTGATCTTTAATGATTTCATATTTTTGCTACGACTGAGCCGATTCACCGGTTTTTCCTGCAATCATAGGAACAGAGCCCTTCCGTTATTTTGGGCAAACAAACATACATACATATATTCAAATGTGTAACTTGTTTCATAAAGACAAAATATGCAAAGGCTAATGCCCATTTATATGCTAAAACCCTGATGTTGGCGTACGAGATAAGAGTTATATCACTAACTGGAGTTTTGATGTGATAACAGAGGTTTTATTGCTGATTTCACCGCAATTTGATCAAGGTTCATGAAGCACACGGACTTGAATCTAATTTGACTTCCGACTTGCCAAACAAATACAAGTGTTCTTATCGACCATGCTTGACTGGAAGATACCCAGCTTATTGTGTTAGACATATACCTACATATTATGTATATAATTAGTATAGGGTTATCAGAGCTATATTTCATTCTGAGAGCATAAATATGACATTCAAATTCAAAGTTCAAGGTGGTCCCTTCAAACATATAAAACATTGAAACGGTTTAGTCAAGGCAGCTTGTTGAGCTGATAAGAAATTGGAGCGTTTTTTTTTTTTTCTTTTTTTTTTTTTGAGTTAATTTGATGAAACTAATTTTTATATCCCTTTCGCTTATTCTTCAAACAATATTGTCTGCCCCGGGAATAATAATAATGATAAATATATATATCCTATATAATGACTCGTCTTTCCGTGTCTGTTACATACGTTTGCCAATAATTATTATACCCTAGACCCATGTTTTCTAGAGGAGCTCAACGTATAAGAACAGGCCTGTAATCATTTGATTCAGCAAATTTAATCCGCTATCAAGTTTTTAATTATCAAGAACATAAACCATATATTCAAATGAGCTGCACTACAATACCGAGCGTAAAATGTTGTTTAGCTGATAAACAAAACACGAATACAATTATATAGATAATAAATTATTTTCGATTATTGTTTTCGTATTTATTTTGTTTGGCATTCAATTATTTAAATTTATGCGGCTGAAATGCCGGTATTTTGTTTTCTGGAAGTTTTTGAGTAACATCAAAACAGAAATGAAGCTTTGGTGGTCCAGCTGTAAAGATTTTTTTCTCTGTCTGAAAATATATAAGTCTAATTAGAAGGCTGTTAAAGCTAAACATTTTGCCGAATTTAAGTAGGTCAATGCATTAAAATTGTCAGTTGATGTGATTATAGTACTCTAGTACTCTATTGATGATACGATATTAGTATTCATTAGGCGTAAAGACCTATCTGTCTTTCTCCTGATCTATTTATTATCGCATCTCTATAGATAATCAACAGTGATTAAAAAAAAAAAAAAATAAGAATAAGATGCATAGAGATACTTATATATAATAGATGTTTATATATCTATTTCTATATATCAAAGAAAATCATTCAATAAGGATGCCTTCAGACATGCAAGCAGAGTATATTAAGAGCTCGTGCCAAAATGATCCTATAAAAACTAACATAGTCATACATTTTCTTACACGAGCAGAATCTAATAAGCATTTACACATCATCAGCAACAAGCCAATCTCATGAGCACATTGCAAACAAATAATGAATCCATATAGATATCTGGATGGACATATACAATCAATTGAAACAGACATTCGGATTTCACTCCTCCATTTTTGTTTTGTTTTATTCCCATTCGTCAGCTCGTTCATTTATTTTAATTACATTAATTGTCTAATAATCTAGGGCTTAGCCGCGGAATCCACTATTTGTGTTGGCATTAGCGTTGGCGTTGGCGTTGGCGTTGGAGCCACCAAATCCACCAGAGTTACTGTTGGCTGCGGCATTGGCACTCGCTGAGCTGCTGCCGCCACCGAATCCACCGCCGAGCCCGGGACCGCCGAATCCGCCGAATCCGCCGGGACGTCCACCGAATCCGCCGGGACGTCCACCGAATCCGCCGGGACCACCCCCGAATCCACCGCCAAATCCAGGACCACCGCCGAATCCACCGCCAAATCCAGGACCACCGCCGAATCCGCCGGGACGTCCACCGAATCCGGGACCACCGAATCCGCCACCGCGATTACCGCCGAATGATTGTGCATTGGCATTTGCGCTGGCGCTGGCACTTGACCCACCTCTACCAAATTGAGGGAGGGCCGAAGCAACGGCAACGAGCACGGACAGAGCGATGAACAGTTTCATGATGAGGCTTCGAGCTGACTTCACAAACTTAGCTCAGAGATTGTCGGGCGGCAGGTTTTATACCTTTCAGTCCCGGGGATATCCCGTGGTCTCAGTTCCAATCAGCCGGCCGCAGATAGTGATGACATAAAGACAAGAGAGACAGAAAGAGAGAGAGAACGAGAAAGAGGGAAGAGAGAGAGAGAGAGAGAGAGAGATACTTTATTGGTTTTGCGTAACGTCACATTCACAGATTAACAGATTCGGTTTCAGTTTCAGTGCTAACAACAACAATAACAACAATAACAAAGCCAAACGAAATATAGAACAAAAACAACAAGCGGCAAATGATCATCAAAACGAATTATAATAGTATTGTCAATTAGCTAGACTATAAGCGACTATAAGTGACATGACGCCTATACTCTACGTCCAGCCGCCGAAGCACATCAACCGGTTGGCTATCGACTGTTTAATTAGTCCCTCGGCCAGCAATATTATTGATACTCAAACTTGGGCGTGCCCCTCGCACCACGCTGCTCTAGACTTTTGTTCGCTTGAGCTTTCAAAACAAAAATAGCCAAAACAAACAATAATCTCAGTTTTGTTAATATAATCTGATATCTAGTTTTTAATTATCGAAGAATAGAGCATATTCTTGATCACCTTACAGAACAGCTCAAAGCTTAAGCTCGACTAATTCAAGACTAAATCTAAGCCGATATATTTTGGGTACATCCAGTATATACAATCTCTATAATTACTGTGTAGATTTAGAATTAGAATTGCTTTGCAATATTTTATCACAAAATACATAGATCATTTAACTATTATATCCATATAAGCTAACTCTTGTGAACCAGTTCGCTGAACCCCTGTACGCAACGCTGTCGACCATAAACGCTTGCCAAACTAAAACAGGAATCTATTTATTTTGTTTATTTTCCTTAATTTGAATTCTGTTTTGTTTTTTCTATTGTCTTTTTTTTTTCGCTAATTATATTTTAAATTATTTTAATTTATTCTGGCCACATAATGAACTAAGTTATAATTATGTTGTTTTTTTTTCCTATAATATCTAACCAATATATATTTATTTTTCTATTAGCATTCTATTTATCAGCTACTTTCGAAATTTGATCAGCCTAAAAATAAATGTTACCTTTCATTGATTTTCTATATGTGAGACACTCAGATATATTAGTATTATATAATTTGAATTGGCAGCCAAATAATAAAATTGTCGTGGCCATACTTTCGGGAGTACGAACTTAATAATATGGCAAAATATTAATATTGGGCTCCAAAAAATATGCAATATTTAATATCGTGAAATCGTATGGAATCTTCCAAAATAATCAATATTATTAAACAAATTTAATAACCTTTAATTAAATTAAGCCACGTTTCCAAAATGATCCACAGATAACTAATATTCTCTGTTGCGAGCTTTATGCAAGGACTGTCATTCTGCCATGATATATGATAGATTGTATACGTAACAATTCAATACTATTATCAATACTACTACTCTTCTGTTAACCATACTTGAACTAATATTCCTACTGCTACTACTACTACTACTCGTACTTATACCACTAGTATCCAACTACTACTCGTATTTCGTATTCTACTACTATTCGTTCTTCAACTACTACTAATCGTACTTCTACTAATAGTATCCTATTTTACTGCTACTACTACTCGTATTTCGTACTCTACTACTATTCGTACTGCTACGACTGGCGCTTCTACTGATGTTCTTACAACTACTACTACTACACTACTATTTCTGCAACTTCTATTTATTATTCTAAAAAATTCACTGCTACTACTATTATTACCTATTTTATTTCTACTTCTACAGCTGCCTCCACTGATACGAATTTTATTACTACGGCAATCGCTACTAATTTTATTCCACTACTATATTATTAAAAACTTTTATAACTATTTGTACTTTATCTATATAATATAAAAGATTTCTAAAAAAAACAAATATAACTGAAAAAAACTTATTATATTCAATTATAATTTTTAACAGAATAAAAATCATTTGTTAGTATATTAGTACATACATATATACATTTTTCTTCTCTTTACTAAAAATCGAAAATCCCACTCATTATTTACCTCCGCAGTACCTCATCGCATTGTCGTCTATCTCGACCCCTTTTCGGGTTTGATGAGCATTAGCTGAAGCGTAGCTAGAAACTTGTATGTGCGAATATTTTAATTGCTCTGCTCACATATATGCCGAAATTAACGGGCGTTTTATGCAGCTCTTATAGGCTACGATTCGTAATTGATAAACAAAAAGAAAAATAAACAATAGAAATAAACCAGAAATCTAAACAATCAGCGAAAAAGTTATACTTCCCAATGTCAACAGAGGAATTATAATTTTGAGACGAGTTTCAGGTATTATCATAAAACCGAGATATAAAAGCTCCATATAGATTCGCGGTCAGTTCAGGATGTTTAGATGAGCTAATACTCTGGTTTATCTATATGCTCAAATCTTTCATATGGAAACTTGATTCCCTTCAAGCTAGACCCCCAGCACAAAGCTATAGTACTACTTGTATATATTTTCAGATTGAGTTGAGTATTCAGCACAAACAACTATTTATTGACTGCATACGCATATTAAACTTATACAAATGTTAGAGTATTAAGCTCCGACTGCTCGAATTTAGCCGCGGAATCGTCCACCGAATGCAGCCGAAGCCGATGCTGAGGCAGAAGCTGAGGCAGCACCGCCGAATCCTGACGATGCACTTGACGAGGCTGAAGCTGCGGCTGAGCCGCCACCACGGAAACCACGTCCGCCACCACCCCTGCGATAGCCGCCTCCGTATCCACCGTATCCACCAAATCCACCGAAACCACGACGACGGAACCCACCACCGAAATGAGGCAGTGCAGCCGCAGCAGCAATCAACAGCACGAGCACAAACAGAACTCTCATTATCAAACTGATCTGAACTTTTAGCCGGTAGCAAGTAAACTGATTGACCCATGTCGAGCCCTTCAGCTTATTTATAGTGGGAGCGTTTAGCGTTTATCATTACATCGAACTCGTCGATTGGCCATCATGAATGAGAAATCGACTTCTCGACTCTCAGTTCTCAGTATTCCTCAAGTAATTAACTGCGCCTGCATCAGCGTCGTTATAATTGTAGACCTCAGCGAACAGGAATGCTCAGCACAGTGAATGCAACTCGAGTAGGCAATGCCTTAGGTCGGCGGAAGTATCAGACTTTGAGGCAAATTTATTAGTCTGGCTCCTTATAAAACTGATTATATAGTCAACAAAATATATAAAAATGTATCTATATACATATATACATATATATATATATATATA